GCCATTACGTCTTATGGCGTATACATTATTAATGGCAAAAATATTTGTGAACAATAGCCGGCTAAGTGTATAACAAATTAAATATTTATGAATATATTGTATTTACTAAATGATTCAATTATGCATTGAATACAAGGGATTCATTAAGTCATAATGAATTATTGAGTGAATTAATGTTGATGGCTAAGTTTTGTGTATAGTTATAATAAGTTGTTTTTGTTATATTTTTATACAATTTAATTAAAATTAAATTTTATTTATGATCAAATCGTCGATGATCCAAATTTGAGAATAATTCATCAAGTAAATGATAATAAAATCACTGCTGTTTGCGTAACAGTCCTGTAAAATTTATAAATTATTTAATATAAATTGCGTGAGCGTAATTTATAAACAATTACATTTCTAACTTATACAATTAAAATATATTTTAAATTTTGACTAGTAAAAAGTGTTGTAATATTTTTCCCCACAAGTAAAACCTATTTTACAATAATTAATAAGAATTTTGTTATAGTTATGATTACAGTTATACATTATTATTGAACATTAATTTGTGTCAAATATTAATATAGAAATAATACAAAATACATAACAAGACTCTACTTTAATTTAACTATATGTATGGTAAAAACCATTCAGTCATAATAAAATAGATTTAAAAGATTCTTGTCTATTACAACAATAGCTTTATTAATAACATTTGAAAACTTTTAAATAAAAATTAAATATTTATTTCGATAACTGTAAATTAAATTTGAAATAATTTAAAAATAATAAGATCAGACATTGAAAACATTAATGGTGCTTCCTCTCCGTCCTTTTTATTTTATTTTTTATATTTATTTTAATTAATAAAAAATATTAGAGAGTGAGTGAGTGAGTGAGAGAGAGAGAGAGAGAGATTAGTCGCTTATATAACACTATAACAAATACATAGAGAATATTCTGTCGACGCACTGACACTCACTCACAGAATATTCTGTACACACCATAGGCTCCATAGACTCTCATATCAACTGATTCTGAGCTCAAGTATTATATTTCTCTCTCTCACACACACTCTCATAGACTCGCAGAATATTCTTCAATAACTTTTATTCCACAGAATATTCTCTCTATATATAAGAGTATAGCAAAACTTTTTTCGCCACACATTTGATTGCCAGACATTTCACTGTCGAGACTACCAGTGCGAGTGTTGGTAATAGTATAGGACTCGACTGTTGACTGTGAAAAAAGTATGCTATAAACTAGTAATAATAAAGTACCAATCTCATTTATTATTAACACGTCAATCACGCGTTCAATACACTGTGTCCCACTGTCTGAGTACTTATTGACAGTTAAATTAAACTCAATTTTATTTCACAAACACTTTGTTATCGTAAATATTTGTTGGCCTAAAAAACAACTCGCTGATTTTTAATTTAAACCTCGATAAATAAATCTATTTAATTCATTATAAACCAGATAAAATAACATTTATCATTTTCGTGCGTGAATTATGTATAAAATTCTGAGCGATTCTGTATTGACTCCGCTATTCGTATCCGTGGTTATCATAATTGCGTTCAATATCCAGCTTATGGTATGCGGGGCCGACCGTCTGGACCCCTGTTCTCATTTGCTTCAAAATATATCCAATAATAACATTCATATGAAACATGTAATGAACACAACGAACAAAAGTGAGTATATTTTATATACAAATGCCCTGTATAAAAAACATTTTTTAAAATTTACTATTATATTATTATACTATTACTTTAATTCAAATAATTATTTTATGTTACCAGAGTATTATTATTAAAGTAATATGGTATAAAGTTATTATTAAGTAAATTTAGTACGTGTATATTAAGGTTTTTATATTAACTATTAGAAATATACTAAAATTAATATTTGCTTGTGTAATTTAATTACTTTATTTTACTAGAAAATATTAAGTCATAAAATATATAATATACAAATAGCTTGTACTAAAATATTTATCATTTTAAAAAATTATCTACCTCAATATAAAGTCGGTATAAAATTGTTGTTAGATTTGCTTAAGTGGTTAAATTAAGTTAAAAACTTTCATGTTAATTAGATAATTATTTCAACTTGATTATGTATGATGTATAAATGGTCATACTTACTGACATGTATGTATTATAACTAGGTTAGGGATATAATCTAGAGACTATATTAAATTATATATTAATATGATTTATATGTATAATAAAGTTATCACGCGATTAGTGTACGAATGGCTGAAAAATCTATTTTTTGCTTAATTTCATAGTTAATAAAGTTATATAATACGGTACTAGTACATATTTTAAGTGGCATATTAAAATGTTTTTAAGTATAAGTTAAATATAAATATTTTGAAAATAATATAATATTGTTCACTGAGGGAACTCCGAGATACAATAACATTAATATTAGCTAGTAGATTATACACTACTTTATTTATAATTACAGTTTTATAATAATAATCTGAAAGTATTTGGTTTATGTAACACTAATTAACAACCAAAAATATTTAATTAAAAATTAGGCAAACAATTAAATTTTAAACATAATATGGACTTTCAATACATAGTATTAAATAAATAAAACAGAAGTTTAATTAAATTTCTTAATGTTTTTTCTCAACGAAAAGTGTTTATCAGATAATAATATACAGTATGTATAGAAAAATCTTATTTGTTTTTCTCGTAAGAAATTGCGATAAAATTTAAGATATAATTAATTTTATGCCAAAAACTAAACAAAATTGCATACATTATGTAGTGATAAGGGGTTTTGGCTATAGTTTTGAAGTTATTTATTATAATATATTTAACAAAGTCTATTGATAACAAACCCATTGACTAATTATGTATTAATACATTATACAGTGTATTATTGGATAAAATATTTTGTATAAATATTGTGTATTTATTATAAAATTCTGTACATAGTGAATTAAGATTTGTTAGATATTTATAATTTATATAATAGTTATATTAAAATATGTTACTTTAATAGATTATTTTTGATAGATTATAAAAGTTTTAAAATTTAAATTTTAAACAAATATAATAATAAACCAGATAAGAAATTTGCCATGTTTATTAATATATTTTGTACGATTTAGCAATTTAATTACAGTTTTAATTATACAATTAATATATGAGTGTTAAATAAATTTTAAAAATATTATTAGTGTATTTGGTGTTATAATAAATAATAATTTTTTAAAATTAATAAAATTTTGTATATAAATTAAAATTATAACATAAATATAAACTAAGTCTTTTACTTTCCAATAGTATAATAAATAAAATCTTGAAATAGCATGTATAATTTAAATTACATACATATTACAGTTTAAAAAGTATTAGCTAACTTCTAAGTATTTATAAATAATTTTAAAAACATATTATCAAGCAGAAATAATATCAAAATTAAAACTATTTACTAAAACAAGTTGTGATTCACAAAAAGCAATAAAAATCGCGGACACGAAGGCGTTGGCAAATATTTACCGCCAAAATTGCTCATGACAATATAACAGTCAAAATAGTTAATTAAAAATACATTTCAAAATATAGTGACCCAGGGGCTATTGACTCAAACGCACACAATTTGACGCCTAAACATAGTAAATAAATTGCGAAGTAATTACATATTGACATAACATGTATGGAGTACTCCATTGTAAGTCTATGGCCTATAAGTACCCAAAAAGTTTCAGTACTTTCAGTACTTTTATAGTCTCTTTCTCTCTCTCTCTCTCTCTCTCTCTCTCTCTCTGACTATTTGTTGACAACAAATACATCATTACATCATATGATTTGTTTGACAAAAAACGAAAATAAAAATTTCACTTAAAGTAAAAAATATGTTACCATTTATAAAGTCTTGTAATAGAAAAAAATATATTATAGTCGTGTCTATTATGACATAAAATAAAAATATAATGTCAATATAATAGTAGTTATTATTTGCTTGCCCTTAGTGTTTTATTTACGTTGAACTAGTAGCTAGGAAATAAGTGCTAGCATTTGATTTGTGTAATACCAAATGTTATATTTAGTGCATTTATAGTACAATTATATATATTTAGTCATGTGAAAATGTGTATATTAATTGTTTTGTACTAGGATATTATAAATATTAGCAAAATAAATATACTAGAAAAATAATAATTTAATTATTTAATAGTATGGCATTTGTTTTGTTGCCGCTATTAATTAAAACAATTTCCTAATTTATAAATCATTGTATAAGTTATAGTATACAGTTTAAATTAATTTATATTGTCAATGAAAAGGTTATTGGTTATTTGTCATAAAATGACAAGTTTTTATAAATAAAGTAATTATGTCTATTAGCATGGGTATAATTAAAATTTCCAATTAACTACGAACATTTAATTTAACTGAAATGTCATTGGAGCAATTAAACAACAAAATTGTGTTTAATTAGTCAGGACAAATTAACTTTAATTACACGAGCTGACCTGAATAAATATATATAAAAAATAAACAATTTTAAAAAGCACCATTTACTATACAAACAATATTTTATCATACACAAATACCACCTTAAGCTATAATTTCTAATCATTTTCAAATGTACGCTATTTACCATGCTTAAATAAATACATGCAATTATCGTTGCGATTGACGTGTAAAATGTAAATCAAATCATTTTACTGTGAAATCAAATAACTTTTCTTAACTTATTTTAAAAATAAAATTTTTGTCAAAATGTTTTAAACATTAGTGCCTTATATTATAGCATGGCGGTTTATGCAAAATGTTAGGGTATTATAGATAAAACTAGTTAAATTATATCACATTGTGTAAGCTATGAGCTCAGAATTTTAACTCGCTAATGTAAGCACAAGGTGCATTTTAATTTAAATATTATCTAGTATACAATTAATTTAAAATTATTAAAATTAATATAAAATTATATGCTACCATGTATAATATGAAAATAATGCTCATTAATAACATATAAATTAATTATGTATTTAATACTAACTAAATTTATATTTTTACACCCTGGTCACACCAGCATTAACATCTATTGTGACTGTGATTTGAATACTGAAATGAATGGCAAAATATTTTATGTGCTAGGGACAAAACAAAAAGTATTGTTCACTGTATATACTGTATAAGTATTTTCAGCACAAATTTGTTTTGTTAAACCAGAGCTCATGAATAAATATTTTTTAGCCAATTTCAGCTATCTACAATAAATATATACTAACTTTAATGCAATATCTATTGCCAGCAATCAGTTGATGATTGATAATAAGTTTTTTGTTGACTTTTAAAAGCATATTTCGTAATCAATTGATAAGATTGTAGTGGAAATATACTGTATATAAAAATGTAATTTCATGTGGGCCATATTTTTATCAACCAAAAACATATCAATCACTTATGGTTTATAAAATAATTTTATGAAGTACTTTAAAATAATATTAATGGCAATTGTATAGAAAGTAATACATTTTGTACAGTATTATGCTTGCAAAATTATATTGGTTAGTTACAATAACTTATTTTAATATAGTCGTAAGATTTTGAAATATCGTATGAAGGTCATTCATTATAAGTTAATATAAGTAACTTGTTTATTATTTCTATATAAATTATTTATTTATTTCAAAAATATAATTTTAGAAATCGATCTAGTTAATAAAATATGCCAAACTATTATCTATCCCGTAAATAACCGTAACAAGTAATATAGTATTTTAAAAACTAATTTTACTTAAAATTTACAGTCATTAACACTATAAACTGGTCAACATTTTATAAAAATATTTTTAAACGTTATCACTAGAGATCTAAATTCATTGAGCATAAAATTGATAACATTTAAAAAATCATTTACAAAATTATCTTTAACATTATCTCTCAATCTACATAAAATCATTTAATATTCCGTATTTTAAATTAATATATCTAATGTTTTACACACAAAAAAGTAAATTTAATTTTAACTTCAATTACCACAACAAACATTAGTGTAGTATCTAATAGAGTAGCAAATATTAAAAGTTCACGTAATATACAGAATATTCTGTATATAAGTCGCTAATGGTTTCTATATCTCACAGAATATTCTATATATTGAGTGAATATTTTGTTACTTTTAAAAGTCAAGTATTCAATGACTTTTAAAATTAAATGTTAAAAAACGTTTTGCAACTTAAAACCTATAATTTGCTTAAGAAATTAAAAGTTTTATAATCTTACATGACCTTTAATTAAAATGATCTATTCCTAATTCTAAAACATAATTATTATTAAAAATTAAAGCTGTATTTTAAATAATATTATAATATTTTAATTATATTTTTTAAGTACGTAAGTCCCTTACTTATTAGAAAAAACTAACACATTAAATGAGCTATGTACAATAATGGATTTTTATTTGTCATTTTATTATTGAATGCCCTTTTTGTAATTGTGATTTATATATACAATTATGGTTTAGGGCACCATTACTACATCTACTTATAATACTGTATTTATTGAGTTTAGGATATGAATAAAGTCTATGAGAAATATGTTAAGGAATTGTTGGAAAGGGATCCGACTATTATAGTTAAATCAGGGCTAGTATCATAAATTAATTAACTAGTTAATGTAAACCTATAAATCTAATATATTATCGTAATATGTGATAATGCTACGTTAATAGTAAAATCAATGCTTAATATTGAAATTGATCCTTTTAATTTTGCTTTTATATAATAGTTTAATGAATAAATCTATTAATTAATTTATTGAATGTATTATTTGTATAAGGGACATTAATATAATTTTTAAAAATTACTAGACGCATTTCAAATAAAATTAAATATTAATACAATCCTTTCACATGAATTAAATATATTTTTCCTAATATTCAAGAATTTAATTTAATAGCCACCTTGCTAAATATACAAAATATTCTATATAAATACTTAAATATACCATGTAAGTTAATAATATATTACTAATTATTGTTTGTATGCACTGATAATAAATATTATATCATAGGCCGTGTACTACTGGTATAGCTAAGGGCATAACCCCCACAATATGTGGGATTTTATTTACGACAGACTATACGACATATTACTGTATATTGTAGTGATTCTCGGAAAAAGTGAAATCAATGTAATTATCCGTAGTTTTTAGTGTTGTTTTTTGTAGACTGTATTTAATTACAACAAAATAGGTTTTAATCTCTATTAATGACTCCGTAATCCATTGACAATTAAATACTAGGGTTGACAATAAGTAACATAAAAATAATGTTTGCCTTAAAAAATATTATTTTGTGATTTAGATGGTTAAAATTATTAAGTATTAATTTTCTGTTAGGTATTGGTGTACACTAAATCATTATAAAATAATTATTATCATTTCTGTATTTATAATGATTTTATTGTTTATGTTTACAGTTTTTAAATAATTATAACAGTGCTCACATTTTGATTTATTTAAAATTAACTATTAAAATTAGTTAATATTATATAATTAAATAATTAATATCTCATTGCGTTAATGTGATTTGAAAAATATGACTCGTATCTTTGTATTTTTTATTTAGTTTATAATTTTAAACTGTAAAATAATAACATTGTTAATTTAATTACCTTTCAAATAAATCTAAAATATCTTATTTGGATTGTGATTACGTTGATTTTTAATTTTAATATTGTAAATTAATTTTAACGATTTTATTATTATTATAAATTACGCACTAAAATTAACAAGTTAAATAGCTTTTCATTAATGTTAACTAAATCAACTCTGATGCCTAAACTTGATGCATTGTTATAATAATACATTATGCAATAAGCTAATGGATAGTAAATTAATTTTTATTCGTAAACAAATATTTGCCCTGATTAAATAATATAGGAAAATAAAAACAACAAAAATCTGTCACTTATTTAAACATAATTACTGTTTTAGGCACTCATGTGTTGATAAAGTGTTTTGTTTTTCTATTGTATTTATTTATACAGTGCACCCCCGATACAATGTACACTACAATAATGACTCTAATATATTATGAATTACTTTATGAAATATATTATTAAAAACAAAAACTACTTACTATTTAATACATTTTCACTATTATATAAAAATAATTAAATAAAAATCATACATAGTAAACATAGAGATAGGTAGTTTGTCCACTAAAATAAAAATTAATTAATCCATCATAATTATGGTTACGATAATATATTAATTACAGCTTAGCAAACAATATACAGTAGAAGTATAGTATGTAACATTATATCATGCTAAATAAAAAATCATTGACGTCAGGGTAAGCTAACACTCAAAATCAAATAGCACTCACTTAAGTGTGTATAAATTAATTAAGCATTCAATATAAACACTTACATAATTTACTGTATATTATGTTTCAATTGTGTTAGGTAAAGTGCTTACTGTATAAATAGCGAGTATATTAATAAATATATTTTATATTGTATATTTGATATACTAATGAAAAGTATTATTATTATTATCGTTATTAATATGTCAATCATAATGAGATAAAATATTCAGGATATCAAATATTTTGCATAAATAAAAGTAATTTTAAAACTAAGTATGTTAAAAATATTGTAGTAACTTATAAGAAACATAATATTAAAAATATTCTAGATTATTAAAATACATGTATAAATTAAGTTAACTAGAAAGCATTTTATTAAAACTAAAAAACTATTTTAAACATTATATTTTTAGATTTAATGCATAGTTTTGCTTATTACTCAAACTATAAGCTAATGTATTGAACAGAATATTCTTAATACAAGAATATTTATACAACAAATAAAATATAACATACATTCAAAATCCATAACAATATTCAACGCATACTTGATATCAATTTATTTTGATTAATGTTTAATATAAATGTGAAAACTATTCAAAGACTTTATGCTTGATATTCTGAATGCGAAAAACAAAATATCATTTTTGCTCTCAATTTCAAGTATATTAAGCTTCTCTCACGTGATTTATATACAAAATATACCCCTTAATATAATGTATTGAATAGTTAGCTTGTTCATTATAGCATAGTGTATCCTGTATGTCAATTTTATTAAAATATGTAAAATATTTTTTCCCAATAAATATGAAAAATATAAAAACGATTTTTGAATATAAGTTTTATATTTACAATAGTATTGTGAAATTGGATTAATATTTGATGAGATTTTGATGTATTTGAGTGTAAATAAGAAATCGTTTTTGTTTTGTTTTTTGTGAATTTATATTTGAGTTTAAAATAAAAACCAAAAGTCTTACGACTCGTATATCTCTGTGTGTCGCACACCAAAGGATACCTTCAACTCTGCTTACGATATGATTGCAAAGCATTTGAATGCATTAGTTTGCTATGAGTGCACGTTCTATACATTAGTTTTAGCTTATATTATAAAAGTATCCATTGGTGTGAAGCACAGAGATATTTAAATGCCGTTTAAAGTATGCATAAAAAACGAGTCATAAATAAGTATATTATATAAAAATATAATAAATATTAAGATATATATATTGAGAGAGAGAGAGAGAGAGGGAGAGGGAGAGGGAGGGGGAGGGAGAGAGAGAGATTATGTAATCATATGATAATTTTGTATATTACATAAAAAATTATTTTTGTTAATCTTATTTGATACCTACCTACATAAATAAATACTTGTTGAAAAAATAATTAATTTCAAATCTAACAATTATTAAAAAATAATTTTCTATGTTTACATAGCTTAACATTTTTAATGAACATTTTTGAAAAATTATCTTGAAATTAAGCCATTTAAAAATTTAATTTAACTAGATTAAAATATATTTAATCTCCAATGTGACCCTCATCCACTATGTAATTAACCAAATTGATTAATTAACATTCTTATTAAAGTTATCTAAGTTTACAGTTTTGAAATTATTAAATTATAATAATTACATTAATCCATAAAACTTAATTAAACATGCTTAATTAATAATGTATAATCACTTTCTTATATTCAGATTCACAAACAACTACTGAATTATACAAAGAGTACACAAATTGCGTGAAAACGCGTTACGATAAACAGCACCGGAATGTGAGGCCTACCGATAGTATCGCCGATAATCTCATTGAACGGCACAGACGTTCTGTATTAGAGGGGGAGGGCATGCGATTCAAAAAGGATCCCATACTTGATGAGGAGGGTAAGTCCTTAAATATTTATTTTTAAATAATTATAGATAAGGTAAAAATATTATTAAATAGCATGTTGATTAGAAACTGTCACAAGAATAGTAAAATTTAATATATTTATTTGACCTTTATAATTTTTATAAATAGTGGAAGTGAAGTATAAAGAGATTTTAATTTTTAAATTATTAATTTTATTCAATTAAGTTTAAATTGGATATTAATAAATTTTAAAAAATTAATATAAACTTGGAAACTTATTACTGGATAAAAATATTAACAATAAATAATTATTATAAATATAACATTGATTTCCACTATTTATAAAAATTATAAAGGTAAAATAAATATATTAAATTTTAGTATTCTTAACAGTTCTAATTTTTGGCTTATTTTAGTAATGATACATTTTGCTAGTTCAATTATTTAATACCTTGTTACAAAAATAATAGTATTAATTAGACTGAAAAAATAAAATAAGTTATTAATGTTATAAAAATTAAATTTTTAAATTTTAGAAAAATTATTAATTTTGAAGCAAATATATTTGATTATTTTAAAGTAAATTATATCATAAACTGTACACTGGATTATTATATAAACTTTATCTAATTGAAATAAATTACAAATTAATTTTGCCTTGATCACGAAAGCATTAAATAATTTAACGCATAAAATAAATTTTGTTAAAACTGTAATATTTGTATTAAATTTGCATATAAATTGTTAGCAAATTATTTGTATTTAAAAATTGGATTTATACGAAAAATTGAATATAATAACAAATTGTACACTACTTATTTATCTTGTTAACAAACATGGAGTTTTTTGCTATGAATTTTTTTTATTCAATTTAACAAAACATTTCAAACACAGGGATGCGCTTCAAAAAGGACACCCTTTTGGACGACGAGGGCATGAGGTTCAAGAAGTCGGTGCTGGAGGGGGAGGGCATGCGGTTCAGGAAAAACGACCGAATGCTGGACGAGGAGGGCATGCGATTCAGAAAGAAGTCCGTTTTGGACGGGGAGGGCATGAGGTTTAAGAAGGCGTCCATTTTGGACGACGAGGGCATGCGTTTCAAAAAGGCCTCCATTTTGGACGACGAGGGCATGAGGTTCAAGAAGTCGGTGCTCGACGGCGAGGGTATGTGCGCTTGGTCGTATTTATACAATTATTTACGTATATGTTTGTTGCTTGATACAAATACTAATAACGAAGTGTTCATCAAAAATGAAAATATAAAAATTATTATGAATGGTTTATTTCGGTACAAGTTCAGGTTGCCAATTTTTTAATTTTAAAATAATACATAATGTCTATTGGGATGCATTAGAAATTGTTACAGTTTGAAAATATAGACGATAATTTTTAAATACTATAATATTATGTGATGTAGCATTTTTGCTTTTAATTTGCAAATTTTCAATAATTAATATAAATAAAAACAATAGTAAATAGCGTAATTATTATGACCACCAAGATAAAAAATACTCCTTTTGTGATAAACTGTAATCTTATAGCAAAGCCGTGAATATAAATAATGAACATTTATATCAATTTTTAAATTGACATTTATTGTATTATATACTATACTACTAAACTACTTAAATAAGTTTTTAAAGCCCTACTCGCTATTTACTAAACCATACAATGCATAATAAACATAAATCATATACAATTATGTACATGCTCACACCTTTACTACCCCAGGTATGCGCTTCAAAAAGGACAACCTTCTGGACGAGGAGGGCATGCGATTTAAAAAGGCCTCCATTTTGGACGACGAGGGCATGCGGTTCAAGAAGTCGGTGCTGGACGGGGAGGGCATGCGATTCCGGAAGTCCGTGTTGGACGGGGAGGGCATGCGGTTCAAGAAGCTGATGGCCAACCAGTTGTCGCGCCTACGGAAGTATAAGTACGTGCCGTTGGACGACATGGACGAGCGCCGGGATCAGGACGGCGGCACTAGTAGTGATATACTTGAAGGTGAAGGGATGAGATTTAAGCGAGCACATTTCAATGGTGATGGTGGGGACACTGATAATGGTGGTGGTGGCACCGATACGTACTATATGAGTAGCCCTAGTCATAATAAGCACCGTTATGTTAAGCATAGGCTCCACAGTGACAATGACTACCGGAGTTATTATAATTTACTCAATCGTAGGGTTAAACCAATTTATATATTATATAGAAGAAAATGAGCGGGCACATATTATTTATAATTATTTATGTTATGCTGCCAAACACGAATTTATTTGATCATGATTGTTTTTGTTATTATTTATATTATTGTTGAAGTTTAATGCAATTAACGAATTAATTTTATTGCACCATTACATTTTTTGTTAACTTTTATTTATGTGCTAGCTAGTTCAGAATAAACTTTTAATATTAACAAGGTTAATGGCATTTTATGTTTTAACAATATCACTTAATATTAAAAGTTTATGAAGTTTATAGCATGTTGATATTTTAATGATTAATTAACAAAATAATACTTTCTATCTAAATCGACTTGATAAATTAAACATTTTACTTTATCATTGCGAAATTGTCTAAAATAAAAATATAAATTAACTAAACCTGCTGATATTTGTTTCATTTATTTTACTAAAAAAATTTAATTACATTTTACCACTATTTATGATAATTTATATTTTGTGTCTAAATATAAAAATGCATAAAAACTATATGAATGTAAGTTATGTTAACAAAAACGTCACTTTTTATAATAAATTATTATTTTATGATTTATATGCGAAAAAGTCTCCAATCATTAGCGTATAGTAAATAACTTTACTAAAGGATATTAATTATGTTTTTAGTTTTTGTATGTACTTGATCATATAGCTTGATTTGTCAATAACACTAAATTATTAACTATTATTAATAAAACTTTTCATTATTAATAATGATAAACACTATTGACTTATTAATATATATACATATTATTATTAATATACCATGATATATAACTTATTATGATAAATATTGTCCACATCAAATAAAATATTTATGTCTTATATATTTGATTATATAATAATAAATAACTTTTTTCTCATTTAATGCTAAAATAAATACTAAATTTTATTTATGTTTCACAAAAAAAATAATTAATTTTCATTAAAAAAATTGCATTTTATTTACAATGCATTTGAAAAATCTATTGATTTTTTAATTACTGTTTTTCATTCGCCAATCATTTTCTTCTATACGGTATACTATATAATGAGTAAAACTATACTATTATATAGTTATATAACAATAGATTATGTGGGTAAACAGGGCTATTTTTGTTGACTTTTAAAAAAGTCCTCCATCTGTACAATGGCATTTTAATTAATTTATATGATATCTACCTTACAGGTACAGGTGCTATGAGAAATCAGTGTGCGCATAACACAATTGAAATGTGTTTGTTATACTCTCTCTCTCTCTCTCTCTCTCTCTCTCTCTCTCTCATATTGACATAACATGTATGGAGTACTCCATTGTAAGTCTATGGCCTATAAGTACCCAAAAAGTTTGAGTTCTT